GCTGCTGCTGCTGCTGCTGCTGCTGCTCTTCTTCTTCCTCCTCCTGCTTGGGTCCTTGGCGTACCGCGTCCCACTGAGGCAACGCGTGGTGAAAAATGAGATGAACATCGAACGGCGCTTAAGAGGTCCTCTCACGCACAGATATTTGGAAGACAGGTCCACCCCCGCTTTCAGAAGGCCGAGAGATTTGCTGGCTGCCTTGCTATGTCCCCCCCCTTTTACAGGCCTCGGCAAGGAGCTCCACCCTCTGAGTGCCGAGCGCCCCGCAAACAGAACACCAGGCCATTCTCTCTCATCCGCGCCAAAGGCGGCGCGTGAAATGGGCGAGGCGGGGGGGCCCGGGTAAACCAGCACAATGAAGCGTACAGTTCGCGCCTCGCGACCTATCTCGGATTCCACATCTGACGCAGGCGGATGTATTGCCCACCTTAACAATACAGCGGCCTCGGGGCTCTGGCACAAGTTCGAGCTCGACGAGAGGTTTGGGCCGCTTGGCCCTGAACCTGTCCGCATTCCCGAAGTTCGTCCTGGACATGGCGCGGCCGATCCCAGACAATACAAGGGCCCGATCCCGAAGAGAAGCGTCTTGCGCCTTGAGCTCGTCAGCCAGGGCTTGGGGCATAGGGCGCAGTCGGGCCTCGACTTTGGTTAGGCGGTCGGTCGCGCGGTTGCCTCTCCAAGCACACCAGGCGCAGCCCTTGGTGCTAGCTTTGGCTCGGGACTGGCGGCTTCGAACTTTCTCGACCGTGACTGAGCAGAGAGGTCCTGGGACTTGGCGCACATCTGCCTCCGAAAAATCAGAGTGCGCCAGCCTGTCTAGGGGCTGGCGGGGCCCTTGGTCACATCTGCCGACCACCATCTTGCAATCACGCGCGACAGTCACAGGCCCCACCCCGCGATCACTCAAAAGCGTGAGGAGAGCCTCAACTTCTGAACATCCAGCCTGCTGGACGTGGTAGGGCAAGGAACCGCGCAGGGAGCCACCAAAACCCCAGTGGCGGCCCACTTGGACCACCGCCCAACCAGCGCGCTCGAGAACGCTGTCGGCGAACACGTGCCGCCGCGCCCGCGCCCGCCCGCTCGCAGAGCGCTCGCTGCTGCCGCTCGGCGCCGCCGCCCCCAGCCGGCGGGGGCCCCGCCGCCGCCACAGCGCCGGGAGGCCGTCGGCGCGGCCGCAGCCCTCGCCTCCGCCGGCTCGCCCGCGCGCCTGCCGCCCGCCGCCGCCCTGCTGCCGCCACCGCCTGGCGTCCCCGCGCCCCGACCGCGGTGGCCCCGCGGCACGGCAGCGGCCCGCTGCCGCAGCAGCCCGGCGAAGCCCAACCCCGCCGCCGCCGCCGCCGCGCGGCGCTCCCGCCGCCCTGGCTGCGCCCGCTCGCCCCCCTCCTCCCTCCACAATTACACCATACGGATGCTACTGCCCTCTCTCTCTCCCCTGATGACATCCGGAAGATGTTCGGCCCCCCTCCACGTATTGATTCTTCCACACAAGATTCCCGGGAACTGGGTTTTCGCTTGTTTTTGTTTCAAAATGTTGCTCCCGCTGAAGCGCTGGCCTCATTTTGCGCTTCCGCTCGTTCCGAATCGTGCTCCCGCTGCAGCGCTGGCCTCATTTCCGCGCCTCCGCTCGTTCCGAATCGTGCTCCCGCTGCAACGCTGGCTTCATTTCCGCGCCTCCGCTCGTTCCGAATCGTGCTCCCGCTGCCGCGCTGGCGTGGATATTCCCAGTGCCATACCACTGCATGCAATGCAATGCTATGTGGTGTTCCGCTCTGCGATGCCATGCCTTCAGCTGCAATGCTAGGATATGCAGTGCTTGACTACGCAGTGCCTCGCCATTATATGCCATGCTACGCTTTGATCTTCAACACCATGCAATGCTATGTTCTGTTATGTGCACCTGTGCGTGCCATTATTTGCGTTGCAATGGTTTGTGATGCAATTCTTCACTACGCAACGTCACGCCATGCTATGACATACTACGCTCTGCCGTGCTCTTCTGCGCCCTGCTACGCCGTGCTCTACGGTGCATCGCGCACCCTCTCGGGATCATTGCCCTGCTCGACATCCCACTGTGCCAATGGAGAGGAAATCTACGCCATGGTAAGAGATGGGAGGGAGGGGTAAGACGTCAGACATGATGCGAGCGCACCTAGCTTGTCCTCCCCTCTCCCCCCTTCTCCCTTCCCTCCCTCCCTCCCTCCGTCCCTCCCTGCCCCTCCCTGTGGCCATCGCTCGGACGTCCATTCCCTGTGTTTGTTTCGGTCTCGTGCGTGGTTTTCTCGCCGAGTGATCAAGGATGCTCCTCGGTGGTCCTCGCCGAAGGAACACTGCACACGTCCGAGCGGTGCCAGGCCCTCGGAAAGCGGAGCCCGCCTGCATCACGCACCGCCTGCTCGCCCGCTCTCGCCCCGCGGCCCGCGCGCGGCGGAGAGGGCGCGGGGGCGTCCGAGAGGTGGGTTCGCGGACCGTGGCCCGAGGCACGCGCGCAGCCCGGAGACGCACCCGGGACGCACAGCACGGTCGGACCCGACTGGACAGGACACGCGAGAGGACAC